TTGTATTTTGTATTATTTGTGTGTAAACCTGCACAGGGACTGCGGATAGAATCTAGAAATTTCACTAACAAGGACGAAGCCACAACAATATGCGTTTTAGATATTTAATGAAAGAGCATATGAATGCTGAGACAGATGAGTGTGTGTTGAGATTATGATTATGATGGATGAAGGATGTTGTCAGTCAGCTGGTCTGGGATGATGGACTGACTGCAGGGCAGAGGGAGACTCAGGATGGGGGTTCAGTCCGAGCTGATCACGGCCCATACTTTGCCTTTAAGAGTTAAACAAACGAGACGAAGGGATGAGGAAGGAGGAGAATGGATGAGAGGAAGGGAAGGGAGGCTGGGTCAGAGAACTGAGACAAACAGGTCGGAGTGGGATGGCTCGGTATAAGTCGGCTTGTCAGGTGATTGAAGGTGTGGTTTAGGTGTGATCCTGCTCCTGAACCTGTATAATGTATTTACTTCATTAATGTATATTGTGTACATGGTCCCCGACAAACCAAACAGTAAACTAAACTAAGATAAATCCTGACTTGCAGCCTATAATCATGACAAGAAGCAATTCTGTGTATCTTTAATCGCTCTGAAATGTTCGGAGCAGAATAACAACTCAGCTCAGGCCTCTTCGTTCTCGATTTGGGGACTGAATCAATATAACAAGGAGCGCAGCAACTCATGTTAATGATGAAAGGGAGGACCTTTCGGTTTTTCCTCAAAGTATTCTGTAACAACAGATTCTAACCTGTGTGTTGACTTTTTCATTTGACCTTTTCAGGTTTCTACAAGCCACAAAGATGTAGCCGTCAGACACAAGTTAGCCTACCACAGCAGCCGACCACTCACAGCTCAAAGACTCCTTTACAGAAACACGCTGTGTGCATTCATTCCAAATTTAGTTGTGAAGCCGTTTTTTTTATATATTTATTTTGTGCAAACAAAAGATATATAGATATATGTTTCCTGTATTTTATTGTGCGCGAACAAGTCGTTTCGCCTGTATAGCTTCCTGGGCGAACCTGAAAAAAGTTATTTTCAGAGTGCCACAGATCAATATATTTATTTTTCATGGTATGTTCCTGCAACCACGCGCACCTGAGAACGTTTAGGCTGTGCACGGGGTACCCTGTTGGCCTTATATATATGTTTCCATGAAACAAAATGTGATGTGTTTCAGAGGGACAGACAATTATCAGGTGACAGCAGGGAGGATAGCCACTGAAGCTAAAAATAAATAATATCTGATTTCTATTATTATTTTAATTAAAACATGCTTGCATACACTTTTTTTTTACCTTGTTTAGGTTTTTTTTTATACCATTAAGAAAGAAGAGTGGATAGAGGCGGAAATCGGGAGAGAGAGAGAGTGAGGAGCATGCGGGAAAGGAACCACAGGTAGGATTTGAACCCAGGCCGCCCGCTTGGAGGAGTATAGCCTCTGTACCCTCTGTACATGGGATGTGCACACTAGCCACTATGCTACTGGTGCCCCAAGATTGACTATTTCTATATGGATACATTTAAAACACACAACAGGATTTCTGATTGTAAATACTGAACACGTTTAATGTTTACGATTTCAAAACGGGGGCGGCTCCGATCGTCTCCTGAGCAGATCGAGAGCTTGAAATCACTCTTAACACACCTCACAGCGAGGAGAATCTGGGATCCATCAGATAGTCGGGCCTTTGGTGACTTTGGTCTCAAGGGGGGAAAATCAGCCCGGTTATCTTGTAGTGTACCCTGTGTACTGCTTTGTCCACAGGGGGCGCCAAAAATCAACACAAACCAAAAGTTCCTTACAGGCGCTTTAAACACCGAGGGGCTTTTTTTATTCACATGTGAGATTATTTTTTACTTTTGTAAATAATAATAAAAAATGTATTCTGAGTTAGGTTTTGAACATGAAACTTTGAGTCATAACAAATTCCTTTCACAGAGGTTGTGATGCTTTTATGTAAAGGATCGTCCACTTTTTCATCACCGGTTACATTTCCCTGAGAGCGTGTTATTACCTATACTCTAAAATATGGGCGAATAGAAACACCACGATGGAGTATAAGTAAAAAAATATATAAATAAAAAAAAAAAGCAGAAGATGAAAAGTGAAATTGTTTCCCCATCTGTCAGGTAGTTTGTAAGCAGCGCATGGAAAACCCTTTGGCAGAGTGCAACTCTCCTGCTCATGGGTCATCGCAGCTTTAAGAGCTGGAGGAAAATAACCGTCCCTGCTCTCCATCATCCCCTCATCCCGCTGACCTCTATGCACGGTATAGTGTACTTACAGCACATGCAGAGGGAGAGAGAATGATTGCATATCTGAGAGAGGAGTGACACCCTCGGACACATCTTTGCTTTCTTATTAGTGGACAGACACTTTTTTTAACAGGGGCCATGATGAGACCCCTCTTCTTTGTGTATCTGTGGAAAATGGCCGAGGGAAATCACAGATGAGAATCACTCAAAGACAGGGAGATGTCAACAGGCACATAATGATAGCTGATGGCCCCACAACACTCTCCCCTTCTCCCTCTCAGCCTTACCTGCCCAAGTTGCACTACACTAGAAAACGTAATTAGAGGTAAAAGACACAGACGGAAGCTTATATCTGTGTTTTCTGTAAGCAATGCTCTTTGTTTTATACATCTGGGAGTCCTTTTTTTCCCCTCTCTCTTTCACTTCGTGGTGAGAAGAAGAGGGGAGGAGGAGAGCTCCCTCTGTGAGATGCCAAGGTGCTCCCAGTCCATTGTGCTGCTGGCTGTCAGGTTAAATTAGGGAGTACAGGCTCTGTGAGTGTAAAAAAATCAATACTTGATGGAAGATTGCTCCCTGGAAAATCTGTTTTGATTCCAGGATTAATTCTTGACCAAAGGCTCCAGCAAAATGACATGCCATTAGCCTGAAAATGAACACATTCTGCGGTGGAAATTGGATGGAAATGTGTCAGGTGATTGCCCCGGCTGCTTGTTTTGACTCCTTTTTGAGTGAAGAGGGGAGGAAGGGGGGGGGGGCTAAAGGTGTGGCTGCAGTGAATGAGGCCTCCAGGCTGACTCCATTTCCAGAACAGGAACAGCTCCGCCGTGGCCTCAGAGCGCCATGTCTCAAGGCCATTGTTGACCGGCAGCTGCAAATGCATCCAACGAGGTGAAAGGCATTAAGCCCCAGCGCCTGCTCTCTCTTGTGTTTTCCATAAAGCATGGCATGAAGAATGAGAAGATCTGAAAATAAAACTGAAGATTTCATTCCTCAACACTCAAACGTGAGAGAGGAGAAGGAAGGCGGGATGTATTATTGATGGCTGAATAATGTGTTTGTCACGATGGATGACATTTTCTGGTTTGAAAACTTAAACAGGAAGCTGAAAAGATGCACTGGACAGAGATTTGAAGATGCACAAAACAACAACATTACTTCAGATGCACGGCAGCATGTTTCTGAACATTGCTTCATTGATTTCTCCTGATACAGAGGAAACATTATTTTTGTATAACATGTTTTGGAAAATAAAGATATTTGATTTGTTATTTAATTTATATTTATATCTGGTTATACATATAAAAAAATATTGTGTTTGCTTTAGTATTTAATTCCTGAAACTACACCACTTTTATTAGAGAAATCAGTGAGATAAAATGTGTTAATAATTTGATTTAATCAGATAATATTCAGATAAATTAAGTTTCATTTATCAAATATAAATATTAACCTTCAGAGGACTTTTTATCTGGACAATAAAGTCTTATTTTTGATTTTATGTATTTTTAAGGAGTTTTAAAAATCTAATCTAATGTAGTTTTTGCGACAATAAAATAATACTTCTTAAAAACTTGCATCAAAAGCCAAATTTGAATCCATTAAAAGCAAATGTTTAACTTGTGTTTTAATAGCCTAGTTGTCGGTGTGTCTGTTAGAGGAAGATGTACTCACAGACTCCGGGACTAAATAAAAAGTCACCAGGAGAGAAAATCATCTGTAAACACTTTTGAGATTTGCTGCCTGAAGAAGTTTGACAATATTTTGTTACTGTAAAAGACTACACTCAATTTTAAAGCAAGGCACTAGCGCCCCCTGCAGGATGTCATTTATATTACTATTTTATGAGACGGCAGGATGCTCTGCATTTTTGCATTTTAAATATACTCCTTAAAACCAACCATAAGAAGTAGGCATTAAAGGAAAAGTACACCAGAAACAATAAGCATGAGGTTAATTATCTCATGACTCCTCACTTTTATCTTGTTGTCCTTTTGAGACGCCCGGACCCTCGTTTGAGAACCACAGTACCAAATTACCAAAGTGCATTTATATAAAGTAGTTCCACCACAATAACAAAGGAACATTCAACTATTGCGACACATGCATTTTACAATATTTACAATCTTAAATTGCCACATAGGACTGTAAACAATGAATCACTAAACTCTAAGTGTTTACATTTTGCTCATACTTGATCTCTACTTTTAATGCAGTGGGATTTTAAATGAAGGAGATGTATCTGCTCCTCTGCTCCACAGTCTGTGGAACGCTCTCCCCGAGCAGCTGAGGGCTCCACAGTCTGCTGACGCTTTTAAAAGGGCCCTAAAAACCCACCTTTCTAACAAAGCCTCCTGCTTGTGCTTTTAGTTTTAGCAGTTTAGTCGTTAGTTGCTTAATTGATTCAATTTGTTTTTATTTCTATTTTTTCTTTCCTGTAGCACTTTGAGATTTTTCTGCAAAAATGTAAAGTGCGTCACAAATTAAATGTATTATTATTATTATTATTATTATTATTATTTATGATCTATTATTTACAGTATATAGGCTCTATCAGTAATGGAGTATTTTGACAAAGAAAACATAATAAAAAATTTAATAAAAAACACGACTACAGATTTCACAGAAATAAAACTCCTGATCCTTTAGACAACCCCATTAAATAAAATACAGCCACTAACAGTTCTGATATTAAGGACGTGCGCCATCAACATGACAGAAGCGACGTTCCCTTTAAGGCGCGGGATGATGACGTCGGTATTATTAGCTAGAAGCTGCTACCTGTTTCCACGAATTCATGGTTTGTCCACATCTGGCACGTTGTTCACACATGTCAGATAAAAATCAACAGTGTTTAGTTAAAACAGGTTTTATTTTCATCCCGTGATGGCCTGGGTTAAAGCTGTTTCGAACAAAGGGGAGGATGTCTTCGACGAGAGTGGGGACGACATTAATCTGCTCAGCAAAGAGTGGACATCCAACATGAAGAAGCGCGTCAGGGTAAAGCTAATGTAGCATTCAGCTAACCGGTGTTTGGGTGTGAAGAGTTACCGTGTTGACTGGTGACTCTCAGCCGAATGCGTCTGTCGTGTCGTAATAACAACATATTTTGAAGACTGCCTCTTTGTTTTGTTTTATTATCATGTCAGAGTACTTTTCAGATTCATCTTTATTTATTTATTTATTTTTAAACTAAGCAAAGAGGCTTTCGTGAGGACCCTTTACGTTTTTATGTGTTGAACTTGTTACTATGACAACCACAGACACATTTGGCTGAGAGTCACCAGTTAACATGGTAACTATTTAAACCAAAACACCGTTTGACTAAAGTGAATACTAAAATGCCAACTTTTGCTTGTTTGTAGTGTTTTTTGTGATCTTAGTGATCTGCTGTGTCAGGGGTGGGGCCACATGAGGCCCCCATCAACCCTCAACGTGGCCCTCAGTTCAATTCTGACATGTCAATTAATTGGAAACATGAAGTAAACATGACAAAATCTGCCATGAAATCATGAAAACCAGAAATACGTCCATAATAATATTTGATCCTTTATGTGTTGAGTTAATTTGAGACATAATCGACTGTAATCGATTTTGGAACTACAATTTGGCCCTCTGGCAGTGAGAATTAAATTAATGTGGCCCCTTGCTGTGACCAAAGTAGCCCATCCTTGTGCTATGTCATACTTACTTACCTGTAAAGCTGTGTTTTAGTGTGTAAATGTAAATGTGAACCCTTCCTCCTCTGACTGTTGTTTTTCACAGGACGGTTACGTGGATGGAGTTGATGCAGGGGAGGACGCTTGTCTTCAGGTTGGTTTTAACCTCGGGTACAGGGAAGGAGCAGCTCAGACTGCAGCTGTGGGCCGGCTCAAAGGAATCGTAAGGTAACTCGTACTGTATGTGATAAATCTATTGCTTTAAGGAGGGTTACACACAGGGGCGAGGAGGACCCAAATAAAACTGTGGAATCCTTCAGAAGAAGTTAAACGGGGAAAATGTTCGCTTAATTTCAACGAGATATATTTTCCGATGTGAAGAGGTGACCCACATGAATCATGGATATCCATAAAAACACATTTTCATTTCAAAGTATCAGTGCTGATGTTGATGATGCTGGTCATGGTAGCCGTTTGTGTTCATGTGCTGACAATGCAAACTTCACTACATTACACCATGAGCCGGCAGCTAATGTCACAGCTCCTGTCGCTCCCACTGAGACAAACCATAAAGAGTGTGTGTCAGTCAGTACGCTCCTGTCAAAACACTCCTTGGTGTAATATTTCTGCCTCTTTCCTGCACAGAAACATCCTGAGTCTCTTTGTTTTGCTCAATACAGAAGACTCTTTTCTGTCCCAGTCACTTCTCTGAGCCATTGTCTAATCAGACACTGTGGCCTCTTTGTGTCTCTCGTCACAGTGCTGTGTGTTGTTGGTGCCAGATCCAGCATCCGGAAAGCCCTGTCCCAGCCTCTGTGACTGACCTTCTGAAGCGGGTCACGCAGCATGAAGACAAAATCCTGGAAGGCATCAGGTACGCTTTAGAGCACCCTCCTCCCAGTGTGAGCGTCATCTCAGAGAGCATGGAGGATCTGGAGGTGGAGCAGGGGGAGTCAAACTGCGGTGGAGGAGGCTGCAAAGAAACAAACTGCTGCAAGGGAGGAGAGAAAATGGACCTGGATGCTTCGCTACAGCAGCGAAAGCCGTGTTCAGGGTCCACTGACTGCTCCCCCAGCACAAGTGGAAGCCTGAACCACCTACTGTCACTCTGCGCGGATGTGGTGTCAGAGCTCGGGCTGCCGCAGGAGCTGACCAGTCACATCCAGGAGCTGTGGGAAATGTAGTGGTTGAAGCACAGGGACCAGAATCACTACATGAACTATGAAACTAATCCGGTTTTAGTGGAAATTTACGAACAACAGAATGAAGTATTTTTGATGTATATAATATAAAATACATTTTTGCATCCCATTTTTGTACAATAAGGTTGAAGAATATTTGAAAATAAAAGTTAATTAGTTAACTGCATTTCTGATCTTTTCTGCCAACAACATCTATTATTAACTGCTGTCATTTTTAAATGTATATATGCTGTATATACTTTTTGTTTCTGGTTTACACATGCACACAAAGCAGGACCTGTGGACCTCCGTTAATGGAGCAGTCAGAGTAGGGCAGCCACACACTGCTTCACAGGGGTCGCGTCAGAATCTGAGGGGGGTTCAGTGCCTTGCTCAAGGGTTCACTTTGCAGTACTCTGGAAGTGAACTATAAGTGGCACCTCTCCAGCAACCAGACCAACTACATAGCACCAGGACTTGAACCGACACATTGGACAAGCTGCTGCAGGAGCTGGGAATCAAACCCTCAGCCTTCCAGTTGACAGACGGCGACGACTCTCACCATCCGAGCCTCAGCCGCCCCCTTATTACCACACATCCATGGTGACAAAGTGTGCAGCTGCAAGGCAAGTCAGAAAGAATCTAAATGGCGATGGATGCTGCAAAGGGTTTCTGGACATGGTGGACGTGCTGAGGGAGGAGTTAGACATTACAGTGAGGGAAGTACTGGCGGCTGTGGATCAGTTGGTAGTGTTGTCACCTCTCAACCAGAAGGTCAAGGATTCAATCCCCAGCTGTGCAACATGTCCAATGTGTCCTTGGGCAAGACACTTAACCCTGCATTGCTCCTGCTGCTTCAGTGGCGCTGTATGAATGGATTAGTGTTGTACTTACTCTCTGATTTACATCACTAAGTGAATTGTAACACTGTACTGGTGCAAAATATGGACTTTAAATGTTACTAAACCCAGACAACAGAGCGGAATAATACAGGTAAATGAATCACTTCTGGGTAGACGATGTAAATATGTGCACTGTCGTACTCATAAAATACAGCAGGTGGCGGTAATGCAACTTGTAAGAATCCCACACAAAAAAAAATCCCACAAGAAGAACGAGAACAAGAAGAAGTGCGAGTTTTCCGAGGAGTCTTTGAACGCAGCACGACTGTCGGTGCACATGAGTATGACGTCATTCGCTCGGACCGAGCCGTGACCTGCTGCTCCGGCTATGCTAGGGGCTTGTGCCAACCAGATGTTCCGCTGAAAATACAGTAAAGACAACGTTGTTTTTTTTTTGTTTTGTTTTTAAAATTGAACGTGTCGTGTTAAGTTCTGGAGGTGTAGATAATGTGGAGGGGTGTTGTTGTTGCAGCAGTGACTCTCAAAGAGCGACGAGCAGTTTTGTTTAGTAGCGCATGTTTATGATTTAAGTTTAGCTTGATAGCTAACTTGGAGCTTGTTTCTTCCAGCTAACCAAAAGTGAAACAGGAAACTGAGCTTCGTGGTTAAAGGCTCCAGAGTTCCTCTCTTTTTTTTTTTCTTTTTTTTTTTAAAACCCCAAACTGTGTATCTCTGTTTCGACATTACTGTGGTTGTGAATTTTTGTAGTTTCTTAGCATGTGTGCTGTCAGTGTCGTTGTTTCCTGGTGCAGAAATGATCCTGAACACACGAGCGGGGGTGAAGCTGTGTTTAAACCTTGTTAAAACACTAAATGTAAAGCATGTCGTCGTGAAACAGGAATGTCAGACGTGTCACCACATGATGTGACCCTGACTGGGATTTATTTAGGGAGGTATAGCCCAGTGGCTCCCACCCTTCTGACCCCACAGGTGACATCTCATCCACAACACATTCAGCTCATTCAGCTCAAAATTAAATAGTCTTCAATCATGCAATAGCTTTTTCTGGACCACATTGAGGCGTGTTGTGAACATTACTGTGGACAGAGGAAGAAAGGTTGGGGGTGACATTTCTGCACAATGGCTGACAGACAGACACTCTGCTCGTTTCCTGTTTTGGCCCACATTATCCTGTGTTCAGTAAATATGTTTTTACTGATGAATAAATACAATTTTTAGTCCCCATTTGAATTCCATGCGACATCACGTAAGATTGGGGAAAGCTTTAAATGCCTAATTTCAAGGCGGCGCCTCAGCAGTGCTCAGGAAGTGGACCAATTTGAAGATTCAGTCCGCACCGGGTACTTGGACCGATGCCCCACCGGTTCCCAACCCAAGTCCCTACAGACTGAGCTTCTGCCGCCCCAATTTCAGCTTTAAGGGCGGCAGTAGCTCAGTCTGTAGGAGCTGGAGAGGTGCCAGATCGCTTCCTGAGCACTGCCGAGGTGCCCTTGAGCAAGGCACCAAACCCCCTCCCCACCACCAGCTCAGGAGCGCCTGCCGGGGGCGGCTCCGTCACCCTGACATCCTGTTTGTGTATATTTCAGCCTATGTGTGTGTGTTGCATGACTTGCAGAGTGTAAAAACAGAAATTTCCCCTCACGGGATCAAGAAAAGTAAATCTTAATCTTTAATGCAACGTTGTAGTTAATAATCAGTTTCTCCTTTGGATAGTTGTTACCAAGAATTGTACCACCTTAATAATCACAGTCAAGAATTAAAGCTTGTAAACACATCGGGGGGTAAAAACTTTTCTAACAGAGGGAGAGAGAGAGAGAGAGAGAGGGGGGGACAGACGGAGAGAAAGTACCGCTCCTGTACTTTCAGGTATGAATTCTAATTCAAGACACAAACATTGTTTCTTCTCTACCCGTGCAGCAGCTTGACCCTCGTGATCATGGACTCCTGAAACCTTCAGCTTTCAGCGACTCTTAGGTCGCTTGCTTCAGTGGCTTGTTTTTGATCCGAGGTCAGCGATCGGCCCACGTCCCGTCTGAACTCCCGGGCAGAGGGGGGCGGGCAGATGGGGAACATTTGCTGTCGAGCCGAGAGTCCCTGTGGCAGCGCTGAGGAAAGAAGTGTATTGCTGAAAGATGACTCGAAGACCGCGATGACCTTAGGCGATACCACTGCGGTGGGCACTTGTGGTCCTGCAGGTGATGATGGCATAAGGTGAGAAAACCAATACTTAAATAAATGCCCTTTTTTTTTTAACTTAGCTTGGCTCAGTGCAAAAGTCTTTTCTGTCGTTTAATTTCATTAAACATTGATTATTCTGTGTCATGCAGCAAAACGCCGGTTGAGGAGAATAAGAAGGTGGAGTTAAAGGCTGAGGCTGAGGCTGCAGAGAAAGAGCTCAATAACACTCAGGAGAACGGACCCTTGAAGAAGGAAGCCACACAAACAGCAACACCTTCTCCCAGGAAAGGATCTGAACGCAAAGAAAACTCCACCAGAGCACAAGATGAAGATAAGAAGGAATGTCCTGCAGGTGATGGGAAATCTGAAATCCAGCAATGCACTTTAAACTGCCCTCAACATGCCACGGCTGATTGGGAGGTTTCTCCAGCCACAAAAGCACCACAAGAAGAAGAAGAAGAAGAAGAAGAAGAAGAAAATCCTGCATCAGCGCAGGATAAAGTCCCCGATAGTAGATCAACAACAGTCGAAGCAGCCTGTCCTGAAAACACCACAGAAACAAACAGAACAGATCACATTAAAGTGGACACGACTCCTGAAAATGTGGAAGAAACAGGCTCTCCACCTGAGCCGCCAGGGGAGACTCCTCAAAACAAAGAAGTGTTATCTGGGGCAAACACTCAGCTCACTGCTGCAGATCTTCAGGTGACGTCCATCTCTGCCGTCAGTCAGGTCGTTAACAAAGAGTCTCCAAGCCGGTGAGTCAAATTATTTAAAAAAATTCTGTTTCTTTTGCTGTTTTTTTCCTTCTAATTTAAGGCCAAATTCATGAAGTAAACAGGATAAAGGTGAGAGGACGTTTAGCCTATCTGTGTGAAAGCACCGTTCTGTTGGTGATAAAGATAATGCACATTAAAGTATCCACTCACTGGTATTTAATATGTCAAATTTAATTAAAGTGAAGAACCACCATGAGCCTCGTTTTTTCATGTATTTCATTTTGAGCTGATTCCAAGCTGCTGGATTGCGACTACATTAAAATAAATTGTAGGTTTTACACCATTCCACCAGTTATTTACCAGTAATATAATAAGTGTGTTTAAATATGAAATTAATAGACTACATCCAAACATACGCATTGACTCGAGCAGCAGTTTTCTCTCCTTTGCTTGCTGGAGCCGTGTTTGTTAATACTCGCTTTACGGCCGCATGACGATGTACAGTTCAGGGGTCGAGTAAGAGCACCTCTTTTTGTCACCTGTTGCCATGGTGAATCGTACTATTGGTGCTGCATTAACGTTGGCTTTTTATAATCGTGGTGCACGCGCTGAACTCCGAGTGAACCGAGTCGATCTATCAAACTGAAATCAGCTGTTCTGGAAACGGAAACTCGCAGACTGTTTTTGAAAGTTGATCTTGTCTTTATCTTATCTTAATACATATGAAGTTTTTACTGCACCCTGTGTTCAACAGTAGTGTGTAGTCTGACTGCCAGGCCGTGGTTATTCTGCAGTACGTCAGGCCCGGTTAAGATGGTTTCTGGTCTTGTAATCAACAGTACAGCTTCAGTGTAGCGTTCACTTACAGTCTGAAAAAAAGCCGACACCAGATTCATTCAGATTCTCATGATGTTGAGATATCTGTGTAGTTTTGGTCTGATTGTGAATATTTCCTCTGGTACGATGGTCGGTGCTGTACATCATTTTGATCTCTGACCTTGTGGGAAACAGAAAGACAGGATGCAAAATGTCTTCCTAATCAGAACGACATCCGGGTGTTTTTGGCATACTGCAAATCTCACATTTGTTCGCATACTGCATACTGCATACTGCATACTGCATTTTGGCCAAATCAGTTAATTCTACTTGTCTAGTATGCTGTTTGGAAAACAGCCCGAGTTTCCCTCCTGAGGGTAAATCAACTCAGAGCTCGACTGAGAGTTTCTTGAACTTTCTGTCTGAGACGGGCTCACAGGTGTATAGATGTGTTTTTTTTTATTGAAGTTGAGAAGTCTGGTTTTGTGACTCACAAACCTTTTTGATTTAAAGGACTTTAAGGTGACGGTAACACATGCTTAGGTATAAAATACAGTTGAGAATGAATACAAATCAATGCAGAGAATAACCTGTGGTAAAAGTCCTCTTCACCTAGACCTGCTCGTGTAACATTTCTGCATCAGCAGACGAGTCTCTGCTTTGTATGAATTAACAGCTGTTGTTCTGTTTGCAGTGCTGTGACAAAGGACTCGGAGAGTGTCTCAGTGTGCAGGGAGGACGATCCTGAAGTCACAACAAGAAGCCACGATGCCTCAGAATCTCCTCCTGGAACCGAGACCACAGAACCCGACCACAGTGAACAAGACTCTGCGAACTCAGGCCGGGAATCAGAGACCACAGCTCCAGCAGAATCCAGCACAAGGTCAGTGGGTTCAGTGTTTGTGACTTCAAAACAAGACACATGTTTACATAAACTTTGTGCTAGTGTCTATGAAAGCCTCCGAGTCACCACTAGGGGGCATACAGCCACCACAGCATGCTTGTGTAAGCAAAGTTTTTGTCAATATTTTCACTTCAAATGTATGTTTTAAGATTTGTGATGAGTAGTAAACTCTTTTCCTTTTATCAGGAGAAGTAACAAAGATGTTTCCTCTCTCTCCAGCTCAAAGTCTGACAAAGATGCGAGTCCAGATCCTGACTCTGTAACTTCCAGCTCAAAGGAGGTCCCCACCGTGGAGAACATGAAGCAGGAGGAAATGATTCTGAAAGAACGGGACGAGGGTGGAGACGGAGATGTTCCTGACGTGAAGGAGAAGGATGAGATGAAGGAAGAGGTTGAAACTCGGGCTGGGAAAGATGCTGAGGGTCAGGAGGTCACTGGAGTGAAGGAGCAGCTGACAGGGAGCACATCCACTGATATAAAGGCTGATGAGGTACCAGTGAAGGAAGAGTCTGAAGACGACCTGGGGAACAGGTTAGAAATGATTTAAAGTGCTTTAAGGGGGGGTTGGGTTTTAATGTCACACATCAGATACACATAAACACACAAAAAAAAGATAAAGCCTCATCTGAAACCTTAAAAACAAAACAAAAACACAGTAAGGTTTATGTGTCAAAATGGACTCAGCTTACCTATATTAAAGAGTCTCCTGTTTAGTTTTTTACCGGGGTACTGTTTCTCCATCTTAGCTCCAGCCAGAGAAGATGTAGGCGTTGTCGTTTATTTTGATCAGCATACATAACTGAACCCCCACCAAGAATACATAAAAGTTATATCTAATTTATAAATAAAATACATTGAAGGATTGAGGATTTGAGGAAGAGAGACGATAATACTTAAAGGAGTTAAATAAATGAGATTTTGATATCAATAGAAATGTCGTAAACAAATTTTAACTTTCAAAACCAAAACCAATAACATGATGGTTTGTTCTTACACAAACGTTCTTGCCCAGTTGTAAATTCAGTCTCCTACATGCAGTGGTTTCCATCAGCATTGGGAATAGCTTAGTAAAGGCCATTGATACTTGGCACCAGGGCTTCAATAATCCTCTCACATGAGTCAGGTCGACGATGACTCTTCTTGTTTTTTAACAAACGTTACTCAGACAGAACATACTGTCTGAGCACTGAACACTGCATTTTTGGGAACTACTTTCAGCTGAGGATTAATACTAATTTAGTTCTCCGGTGAGTATTTAAGGCAGCAGGAGCGTGAGTGAGATGAGCTCAAAATAAACATCCCATGTTGATTTAAATGAACAAACATGCGACCCAGTGCAACACTGCGGCTCCCTGACGTTCTTTTCAAAAAACAACAACAAAGGTCTTTGGTCCTCAGGCTTTGGATACACAGATGATACTAGTTAGGAGGATCACATAGTCTGTTGGGTTTGGTCGTTTCATATTAATACTCTCCAGACTTATGCATTATGTATCGTGCTTTTTCTGTTTAGTGATGAAGACCTGTACAGAGGAGTCGAGGAGCTGCCAGCGTCTCAGAAAAACAAACCAGCTGAGTTAGAAACGACACGTGAGTACGACCACGACACACATTTATGTGATTAGACGACGCCGGAGAGTTTACAAAGAAACACTTCGTTGAAAGAACACAGTTCTTTCAATGAAGTGTAGGGAGGTTGTCCTACTTTTCAATACTTTTGGATACCATGGCATGTCTTTCAAAACGATACAATCAGTCTTTTTTTTCTTCCAAGATTTATTTTTTGGGCTTTTAATGCCTTTATTTTAAAGACAGGACATTAGAGGATGCAGTCAGAACTCTGGGGAAGAGAAAGAGAAAGTAGGGAATGACATGCTGGAAAAGTCTGATTCAAACCCTGGCCGTCCACGAGGACTATTAGCCTCTGTACATGGGGCGTGCCCACTAACCACTAGGCCAGCGGCGCTCCTTCAGTCACATTTTTAACCAGTAGATGGAGAGCACTGTCTATAGAAGACACAAATACATTGGCAACGTTTTGCTACTAAAATGTTGCCAACGCATTTGTGCAGTTTGGACGGTGTGCAGGAGTTCGCTTGCCATTTTTGGCCTTAAAAAAAGAAGAAATGATCTGGCTGCAGTGGTTGGTGCATGTGTCCCATGTGCAGAGGCTCTGGTTCTCCAAGCGGGAGGCCAAGGGTAGAATCCGAGCTGTGGTACATTCCTCCATTTCAGTCCCCACTCTCTCGCCGATGTCCTGTCTCTAGACGGAGGCGCCTAGAACTTCTACTTTTGATGCTCTGGTATTGAAACCGTTATTGATTTTGTTTGACTTCATAACTTAGTGCAACACTCTGGCATAGCGAGAGCCTTAAAATCTAGACAACAGCCTCTTTGTTGTGCCATCATGCCTCCCCCCTCTGCTCTCTGTTCCACAGTTTTAAAGGTCGAGGACAGATGCAGTCTGGCACCGGCGGTGGACATTCTGGGATACAGTGAGCGAGAGTGGAAAGGAAACACTGCCAAAAGTACTCTGATTAGGAAGGTTGGTGCCTGAAGCTCTTCAGCAGAATTGGTTCAGATTAAAGACATTTTTTTTTAAATGTATTTTTGATGCTGAAAGAGACTTTGCTTGCGTTGCTGCAGGGTTATAAGGAGATGTCCCAGAGGTTTGGCAGCTTGAGGAGAGTGAGGGGGGACAACTACTGTGCCCTCAGAGGCACGCTGTTCCAGGTGCTCTCCCACAGCACGGAGCTGCCTGTGTGGCTGCAGGAGGAGGACATCACGATGGTAAATGCTCTCTTAATGAAGTGGTCTCAGTGCACGGTTAGGGTTAGGGTTAGGGTTTGTCACCGTTTGTTCCATTCTTGAATCAGAAACATAAAGTCTTTACGTTCAAGCTGAAGACGCGGCGAGCTCAGCCCTAGAGAAGGCAGAAACCTTGCAAGAGTTTTGAAAATCTCAGGTTATCATCTCGACACGACCAGAAAAGTCCAAATATACTCCAAAAGAATGACTTTCCTACTGTCCGTGTTTTAACAGTGTTGGAGCAAAGCAGCTGAAATGACAATTTAGCATTTGATTTCTTGTTTTTGTTTACAGCTGCCAAAACAACTGGAGGCACAGGAAGGTCTGATAAGTCAGTGGACATTTCCTGGAGAGTGCCTGCAGGGAGACGGGACGGGAGACGCCATCGCTCAGCTAAAAGGATACATAGAGCTTCTGAGAATTAAGGTACTGACTTTGACTCTGCTTATAGACGTACAGTGAAAAAGTATTTAAACTGTACATAGCGAAGTTACCACAGCACTATTTTTATACCGACGTGGACACTGAGGGTATTGACACTTAGCCATAGAGCTCTCACATCTGATTGCTTCCATATGTAAAAGGGAGGTTGTCTGCTTTGACTCTCAGGCCGTTTTTTTCCCTGTGTGTCATTAACATGGTCTTGGATATATGCATACAGTATATTCTAATGGATCTCCAACAAGGAGGAGAATATCTCATGGATACAAGACGTGGTAGTGTTTTGGTTTGACCTTTTGGCTCTATTGCACATTTCAAACCACTTTATCCTGCTAATCACTACAGTCGTACATGTAAGTGACTTCTTTAAAACATGTTTTGTTTTCTTACAAAAACAGTGTGGCCTTGTTCAAAGAGTGCTTTGGGCACTTTGACCTTGCTGTGACCTTAAAGCTGTATGATAGAAACATTCATCTCGTTGCTCTTTGATGTTTGCTGTAGTTCAACAGAAATGCAGAGTCTACGACGGATGTACTTAACATTCTTGTGAACAGGATATCCCCATCTCAACAGACATCCGAAGTCAAAAAGAAAAAGTGATTCTGACTTAAGGGTCAAAGGATATTAGAACATCTGAAAAACAAACACAAACACATTTAGCCTCTTCAAGACTTCTGCTTCTGATCATGACATCATTTGAGTTTCACCAGAATGTCTAATAGGATTAATCTGATAAACAAAGTTATAAATAGATACATGCATGCTGCAAAGAGACATTTAATTCAAATGACCCTGTGGTTTTTCTCTCGTACCACCCTTAGGAAAGATGCTACAAGGAGCAATTTTTACTGATTATTAAGTTTGATGGAACATTTTGTCTTTAAATTAAAACAAATGCTCAGTCAGTCCAAAACCAGGTCAACAGTTACACTTTAAGGTTTTAAAGGAAGTGGTCGCTGGTAGCCAAGTGGTTAGTGTGCACACCCCAGAGGCTGTGCAGAGGCTAAAGTCCTCAAAAGCAGACGGCCTGGGTTTGAATCCAACCTGTGGCTCGTTTCCTGCATTTCTTTCCCATCTCTCTCCCACATTTCCGACTCTATCCACTGTGCTGTCGCTCCAATAAAGGCCTAAAAACCCCAAAATACATCTTAAAAAAACAAACATTTGTACTGAGAAAAATGACTTTAGTGAATTAATATTTTTCACAGGACTTATTGATGAATATCCTGTTGACCTCTGTCCCCTATCCTTGAAGAGCACCTGATGTCTCTACATGTTTTGACCCAGTGCAGCACTCGCGCTCCCTTCAACCCTTTATTTTTTTTAAATGTCCTGGCTGTGTTTCCAGTGGCGGGCAGCAGTGGACTGCTCCTCCGCGTCGGAGCGGCAGCAGCTCTGCGAGCGAGTGTTTCAGGGAGGAGAAGAGGAGCTGGGGCTGCTGGAGGCGCTCAAGCTGCTGATGCTGAGCCGAGCGGTGGAGCTGCACGGCCTCATGCAGGCCGGAGGAGACGTCCCGCTCTTCTGCTGGCTGCTGTTTGCTCGAGACTCTTCCGACTGCCCGCGCTCCTTCCTCTCCAACCACCTCAGACACGTGGGCCTCAGCGCCGGCCTGGAACAGGTAGGAGAATCCCGACTGCAGACTCACCTGAGCAGGCATTTTAAGATGTGTCCTAGTGCCTACATATAGTCGTTAAAAGTTTTATTTTGGCGGGTAGAGAGCTGCCAAGAAGGTCGCTGCTTAGATGTTTTTCAGTACATTTCTGCAGAGTAAACTGTCGTCACTCTGGGTAACAAACAAATACAACAGCTAATGTCAGATATCAGGCTGTTGGGTGTGTATCACAGTAAAACAGTAAAACAAGCCTGTGCTCGTGCCGTTCCTTGTTGTTGAGCTGTAATTTATCTTTATCATCCTTGGGCGTTATGTGGTTTGAAGAGGGACAAGCTTCACTGATTTAATAGTTATTTTTTTCTCTTTTGATGAAAGCTTTTACAGGTGTGATCTCCATAAAGCCACCCCACCCATTAACCTCATGCCTGAGCAGCTGATTAAACATTGTGTTGTATAAAAGCCGTTTTTTTTAATATGTGCTCTTCTCTACCTGTACAATTAGCTCCTTTTATTCATGCCTTCTGTGCAGGTGGAGATGTTCCTGCTGGGCTACTCCTTGCAGTGCACCATTCAAGTTTACAGACTGTACAAGGCCGACACTGAGGAGTTTGTCACCTACTACCCAGACGACCACAAAGACGACTGGCCATCAGTGTGCCTGGTCACCGAGGACGATCGTCACTACAATGTGCCGGTTGTAGAAGCGTCTGAACATCACGAGGAGCTCGACTCGAGCTGATGCCACAGCAGAGAGATCTCCTGCCATACACTAAAAAAAAACCTCTCCTCAGGTCCTTCCAAGATTTACAACGACGAACGGAGTCATTCCACATTTTGGGAAACTACGCTTTTGTGTTTTATTGGAGAAGAGACATCGCTAATGTCTGTGAACCTGCAGCTGGTTATCATATCATACATATCATTGGCCTCTTAGGGAAGAATGTGCGACATTTAACACATAAATACAGCAGAAATTAAGTATAGTACATCCTGTGTGAATATCTCTCTGAGTCATGACTGTCCACAGCGAGTGAGAAGCTCAAGTCCCCGCTGGCTGTGTTGTTGTCAGAGCCGTGTTTACATGGACAGGACAGCTGGCTCCTCCCCTTGAGTATAAAAGCAGTTTAAGTCGAGGACTAGATCACGCTCACGCTCGCGTTTTTAGATCACGCTCATCCTGTGTCAATTTACATGCAATGTGAAGCTACAGGCTAACTAACTAAAAAGCGCTAACAGCTAACACTGGGAATATGAGGGGGGGGGTTGGAGGTGCGTTGTCATCTACTGGATGAAAAAGTCGCACATTCTTCATTTAACACTTTTCGTTAAACTTTCCAAAAAAACATGCAATCTTGCATTTTACCAACCTCTAAACAGGAAATATTTCAGAATCTGAAAAAAAACAAAACAGTGAATCAATATCAAAACATATCAATGGATCTCTGCAACCCTTTGTACTGGCTTGAAAACAAGTCAGGCTGTTTAATGCCTGTTTGAAGTGCTTTCGCTATGCTAAGCTAACCAGCGGCTAGCAAGAGCTTAATAATTTATGAACACATGCGTGATGTTGTTTTGATTTTTTTGGTTAGCATTTCCCAAAATGTGGATCTATTCCGGTGAAAAATATGCTGATTTGAGACCCTGTACAACACGTGCTTTACACACTTTTGTACACACTGTACTGTATACATAGTTTTCTATTTGCGTGTGTGTTCATTAACATGGATCTGATATTGTGAGATTATCTCAGTTAGGCCCAAATTAGTTTTCAGGGTGTCATTTTGACAACCTTTTATCTTTGACTATTTTCTCTTTTAAAAAAAAAAAAGAAAATGCGGCCAACGGCGCCAAAATGAAGATGTTCTGTGTTTACACTGGAAATTTGGGCACTTTCAGTATTTATTTATTTTTTTGTTCTATGTAGAAAAAAAACAAACAAGCATTTTGAAGTGAACAAGTGTGACAGTGATCAGTGACACAGCTGAATCAGTCAGTGGAGCGTTTGACGATTTATCAGGTCTATCAACAGCTCACACCAGATGACGATCAGAGGATGTATCGCAGCCTGTGTCAGAGGCGTGATTTGTGATGGTCTGCGTGTGTGTGTGTTTGCAGCTGTGTGTGTGTGTGTCAAACTCAATGTGTAACATGTTGCCTTTAACCAAGCTGTCCTGACGGGGAAAACGTGCCAATGTTGCTGCAAATACTGACAGCCGTCCCAGCCACCAGCCAGTAGGAAGCGCTCGCTTGGTCCTCCATGTTGCCTTAGAAAAAAAAATGCACAATAAGAATGAATGTTGGTCGTCAGTGAGAAGAGGCTGTTTCTTTCCCTGATTCCAGAGCAGGTGAAGCTCATTTATAAAAAAATGTGTAAGATCAAAACTAAAATGCCATTTGCATGAATGATCTCGCGTTGTCAGACTTTGGGACGTTGAGTTCAAATGAAGTACAATTGTTGTGAAGAACTTTTCTTTCCCCGTTACAGCGCTTGATTTGATTGGTATGACGTTTTGATGTTTCCTCATTCATTTAAAAAAAAAAAAAAAAAAAAAGGAGTGATTTGAGTTTTAAAAAGCTAAGCTTCATTAATCATTCATTACATCTGTTTGGAACCCAAACACATGGTGAAAACGTGAATTAAACAGATTTTCCTACGCTCTGCATCCATTTGGTGTTCTCCTTTTTTCTCTCTGCTCTCCTCTCTGAAGTCCTGCAGCGTCTCTTGAAGTACGACTACAAAAGACTACATCTAGGTAAGTCAGAAACAGGAAATACCTCACACCTTATAAGGTCAAATGAAACATGATGAACATTTGAACTTCATAAAAGGAGCTAAATCTGTTTGTTTTTTGAGAGCTTACACCAGAGTTGTTTCTACATTCATCTTTAAGAGTTAAGATTTTTTTTTTAAAGCCCTGTGAGACACTTAGTGTCATGGTGACTTTGGCGCCCCCTGTGGACAAAGTGTGTCCAAATGATTTGTCTCTTCATTTTGTCCTGTACATCATGGCCACTCCTGTGAGTTGTGTATGACAAAAAAAGAAATCGCATTCTTTATTTTGAAAATCTAACATGCAACTCAAAATAAATCTTTGGCCTGGAGTTAAAAAAAAAAGAAAAGAATAACGCTGTTACCGAGGTGAGCAGGTAATAATCTCGTCTGATACCAACCCTGAGGTTAAATAGAATTAATCAGAGGTCTTTGGCACAGTCTCGTTTGCTTTCATAGTTCATAAAAAGGCATTGTATCCATTTCAGTTTGTTTCTTAACCAGCTCAAAATTCCTCTTTAAGGGGTTTGTGATATTTACCAACCCAACAGTCCAGGTACAGGATCGGTGTTGACAACAGAAACATGGTGGTATGCTGAATTCATGTGCTCCTTGGATGGCCCCAGTTTAAGAGTTACATTCAGTGCGTTCACTAAATTTTAGTTTGGAAAGTCTGAATGTTATAACAACAACAAAAAGTGTGGCTGCTACGAAGATGTGAAGTGTCTCAAGTTATATTTGAGCAAAAAGTTGATGTGTAATATGTGAATCAATCAAAAGACATATTTTGCCCCCAATGTGATGACGACTATGACGTCAAGTCGAGCTCCTAATTCTTAAGCGTTTTAGAGTTGTTGTCTTGACTTGAGCAGGCGTTCACGTACATTTTACAACATGAATGCACCATGAGATCATCTGTTACTTAGCAACATATCTGATTGAATTAAAACCTAATTGATCTTGAAATCATTTCTTATAGGCAGAGGGATAAACAACGACCAGATTAATCGGATTTCGACAAAACAAAAAGGTTAATAATAAAGCAATTTATTTGCCAAATAAGAATGCCTATACAGTATATACAGGACATAGGACGATCTGAATACTACTAGGAAAATGCTTGGCAAAACAGAAGTAGATGGACTCCCAGACTGCATGGAAAGTGAACAGTCAGAACTGTTTTCTGTAACACACGCGATGATATATGGAGGGGTTCCTGACCCCCCCTGGGCATTAAATATACACTTTGCATTACCTATATAAAACAACAAGAATCTGTACACCATGGTATGTAAAATACGATTGCACAACCCAACAAGTCCCACAACATGTCTATATTTGAATTCAAACAACGCCTTGCCGCTTCATCCTGATAAAATAACATAAAATGATAAACTCTGTATTTTGGCAACTCCACTACCACTCGACAGATGTTTCATTCTTGATGCTGCGGAGGAGCAAAAGTTCTCCTGCGTCGATTTCCCTTGTTTACCAGCAGACACGTGACTGGTTAATACAACGGTTGATGTGTTGAAGGTCGGAAGACAAAGTTATTTACACTGATGTATGAACACTTGGAGGTGCATGGCTTTCTTTACAGTGTGCGTTTTAAATGATGTGCAGGTCCAGCAGAAGACCTCGTCGCTCTGATCCAAAGTTTAGTCCCTCTGCAGAAACCAAACCATCCTCAGCTCCTCACTGTAACACTGAGCGCTCTCTCCTCTTCAACTCAAAGTTCCACATGGAGGGCGGGCTTTAGCCTCCTCCTTCCATCAGCGCTCACTCCTGCTCCTCCTCCTCCTGGAGCTCCTCGATGGCGTCCATCTGAGTCCTGGAGCACACCTCGCTCATCGGGGCCGAGTCCTCGCCCTCCACCACCAGCTCGTTGGACATCTCGTTGTTTTTCTGCACAAACAAGACAGAAATTTAAAGTGAATGTCGTTAAGAGCTTCTGGAAAAAAAGAGACTGGTTGAAGCTGAGACCATCGTACTTGTTTTCTAACACTTGATGAATTGTCAAATCCAAACGGCCAGAACAAACGTGAGTATTTATCTGAACCTGCTGACCTCATCAGATTGTGTTTCACTACTCTTCACAGATTGGAATATTTCAAAGATCTGGCTCAGATTACAGTAAATCTCTAAATTGGAAGTTAATAGAAAACATTCAGGAGCTTAATTAGAGAAGTGTGGCTGCTCAAACTGAAAACTTTTAGAATACGAATATTTAAAAAAATGTATTCAGGTGTTTTTCTCTTTTGTTTTTCTAGTGGGAGGACACGTGGGACTTTTCAGACCCTTATTGGAGAGGTAGGATATGTGCACACGTCCCTCTAATTAAGGAGGAACGTGTTCCAAACACAATAAACGCAAGAAGAGATGGGAAGAATGCTTAAACACTTTTGCTATGAGAAGACCAATTTTGCAGAATATGCTTTAGTTCACTGTAATGTGAAGAGCCGGATGAAGAGATTAATTTAAGCTATATGTCTTAATAAAAAGATTCTATGATCAGCAGCCTGTTAGCTTAGCACAGAGACTGAAACGAGTGGAATAAGCCGACCGTGCGCTGCCAGAAAAGAACACAATCTGCCTACCAGCACCTCTAAAGCTCCTTCATTAACACCTTATTTATAGATCCTTAAATCTGCACCAAAGTCATCTGTACACAACTTTTTTTTTTCGGTTAAACGAAGGCTCATGTGCTCAGGCTCAGAACAAAGTGACTTCAGCTGTAGGCCGCCAGCTCATCATCAAATCACATTGTTGAAAAGATAACGGTTAAAACGTCAGCCTTTTGATTTAGGAGTCAGTGCCACGTATTATGTTCATTTGTACTTTTTTCTAAAATGAGGGTACTCCCTTCAGTTCTCTTGAGTCATCTAAAATAAAGACAAAGTAGTAGAAGTGCTGCAGGGAGATTTTTAGACCTGTGGCTGTTCACAAACCCGACAGATATGAAGTGTGATCGATCTTCTCTCAGCAAAAATGCACATTGAACAAAATCTTCTTCAAAAGTAACAAACGTGGATCAGAGTCGAGATGCTGCAGCACAACACACGAGATATCTGTCAGTAATTGTCTCAATGTGACGTCACTCTGGGACATTGAAGGCTGAATTTTAAAGAGATCATGGACTGAGATGTATCTTTAATGTCACCCCTGTAATAACTCATTGTACTGGATTGTAAATTAAGACTATAAAAAAATTGAACCGTCTCGAGATAAAACTTGTTATGAATTGGGCGCTACACAAAAAATGACGATTGATATAAATCAGTCCTGAATGAGATGAGTACGAGGTCCCTCCTTTCATGTATTAATAATGAATTTTCTGAGGTCGCAGCCTCTTTTTTCTTTTTTTTAAACACAGTGATCATAATGAGAGGGGTCACACCTGGTTTAAAATGGCTGCAGCTGTGATTCACAGAAAGCCCTGATTAAGGTGTGTGCACTCTCGTGTTTGAAATGACCTCAACCCAGGTGTTCTCACCTGTTGTCGATAAACATAGCAGGCTGCTATGGCAACCATTGTTGACTCCCCTATGAAGCCGGCCAGGAGGGATCCGACCCCGAGTGTGGCCCCGTGAACCCTGAATAAAAGGAGAGAGGAGATTATTTCAGTTGCTGTTTCCTTTAATCCTGTTTCTGTTTCAGAAGCTTTAGAGATGTTTGATCTTTCCACAAATAAAAACATTAAAAAGGATTGTTACATTTGAGCAGAATAACACACGATACTGTATGCAATTACACAGAAGGCCTGAGTCACAGAGCTGACCTTTGTGACCCTGACACTGTTCTCTGAAGTGTTGACTTACCCCATATAAGGCAGCACAACTAGACTGGTGATGAGCACAATGATGCGGAGAACCGAGCTGGGGGCCAGCACAAAGGTCTTTTTCAGGGTCATGAGCCATCCAGTCAAATGAGCCCGAACAGTCACTGCAAACACACACACACACACACACAAAGTGGACACATCACCCCACTGTTACAGCTATACCCCCGTTAAAGCCACAGCAGGAAGGAAAATCCAGCTGGAGCACTGATGCTGAAAAAAAACATCAAATGTGTGTCGTACCTGGCAGAGGGAAAAAGGAGAAGATTCGGAGCGGGACCACACACAGCGCGGCGAAATTGTAGTCCACTCCGATGACATCAACCAGGATCTTCTCTGACACATGAGGCGTCCAAAACACCACAAAGCAAAGCTGGACACAAAATGAACAAAAGACAATTCATTTTTTGCGTCCACTGCACCACAATGGAGTTACCCCGCACGCCTCATTAGATTTCATTACTTCATTAACTCAAGGGGTTTCAGATTGAATGTGGGCCTTTGAAGCTCACATGAAACACACGGCAGACAATGTTATTGTTTCTAGAGGAAAGTGTGGCCAAGGCACGTGCAGCACCGAAGCTTTCACTGTATTTTGAGCACATCAGGGAGTGTTAGAGAGTGTAAAACTGTCTGATCTGAGCATGAATAACACATCAGTTTGTTTAAAACTGTGTAAAGAAAGTTGCTCTGCACTACAGTACAAACATAGATCAAGCCCAAGGGGATCCATAAAAGGTGTTTTTCTGCTTCCTCTCTGACTCTACACTGCTAACTCGGTCACACTCACTCTTGTGTAAACTAATGTATCATCTATGAATGAAAATGCTTCAGATTCAGCCGTAGTGTCCAGCCAACCTTCTGTTAAAACCTCATTAGTCCCAAGACTTGCAAATCTACCTGTAGAAGAACACAATCACTCTCTCCTGCCAACTACCAATCGTTTAGATTGTCCCTCTTCGCTGCACGTGAACTTCTACAGTATTTCTGATTCCTTGAAAATGGAAAATGGAAAACTGAAATCAATACTAATGCCTCTATGTGACCTACAAAAG